GAGAGAAGGAAACCTCAGGGAAATGCGCAGGCAGAGCTGTCCCAGCGTCACTGCTGTGGGAGTCCTGCCCACACCCGCCTGAGTGTCCCTCAAGAGCTGCGGGCATCTCCCCTCAACTAGTCACCCTCAGACTAGCTCATGGCTCCAGGAAGAGAGTGGGACTCACCTCAGCTTTTTCACCAAATCCTCCAAGTTTAGTGGGTTAAGTAATGAAAAAAAAAAACCTATTTTGGTGGGAAAGGAAAGACTTTACTGCTGAATGAGAGAGAAGTCCCTGGGTAGGCAAACCGTTAACGTGCTCAGCTGTTAACAAAAAGGCTGGAAGTTCAAGTTTCCCCCAGAGGCACCTTGTTAGGCAAGGCCTTTAGTGAGCTGCTTTCTCAAAATCAGTCCCTGAGAAGCCTGGGGAAAGTACACCGGGGTGGGGAGGTCACACAATCAATTCACCATGTTTGTGAGTACACAGAGTGGGCTCATAGTGTGTCTGAGTTGAAGATAAGGTGAGTGATGGCTCTGTCCCCTTGCTACAGCGCTCCCAGCCCCTCCACCCTCTGATGCCTTAGGCCCCGAGCTCTCAAAGGGCTCCTGGGAACATCTTGCAAGTTCAGTACTTACAATTTCACCAAAATGAACAGATTTCCTGTTTTCCAAAGGAGGGTTTTGGTCAAATTTACCTCATAAACTTAGCAATGCTCCTACATTAAGCAGTCAAGATGTGAATGGGGGCTTGTGACATCCCTGTGGAGGGTTAAAGTGTTGGTTCACATTCTCCCCTTCGGTCCTATAATCATCCATTTGTTCGTTGTCTCTATACACTAAAAAGGGCTGTGCCACAGGTCAGCAGCGGACCCCTCAGGCAACATCACCTAACATCAGCTAACTCCATCCCGTGTCTGGACACAGTCCTGGAGGTTCATGTCCCCCCAGGCCTGGGTCATTTCAAAGTTGTGGGAATTGATGATGTGGTTCCCTCTGCAAAGGTGATCCTGGAGCAGCCCCTCAGGTCACAGCACTCTCAGGATCACTAATGACAGGGTGAGGAGAATGGGGAGAGCACTGTAGTTCTACTGGTTGCATCTTTGAGACCAGCTTTGTGGAATGGTAACCTGAACATATATGGTTTTTTCCCTGCAAAGTTAACCTAAGGAAAAATACAAGAGAAGAGGAGGCAGGAAGACCGAGAACAGGCAAAAGTTACAGAGACACTCACCCCAGTGTTACTTAAAGGTAAATGAGCACAAATGAAATGGCTACTGAAGGCAGAGGTTTGGGGAATCACACTGTCAGTTAGAAAACGGTAAGTGCAGAACGCAACTAGAATTAGAGTTAGCCCTGGGCAGAGGCCAGAGTGGCAGAGGCCAGAGTGGCAGAGGCCAGAGTGGCCCAGGTGGTGGAAAAGCAGGTGCTGGCCAGGCAGATCTCAGCTGGAAGGGCTGCCCCACAAAATCAGAGAGCAGGGTTTTCCCTGGGCTTCCTGGAGACCTGGGGAGAGAGGCCATGACGACCGTTACCAACAGAGCTGTGTAACCCACAGCTGAGAGAAGGCCTGCGAGCACACCTGAGAAGCTCTCCTGACTGAAGAATTGTATCCTGATAGGGAGCTCTCATGGCCTAGTGGTAAGAAGCTGCACTGTAATCTTGAAAGAACCCACTTTGAATCCACCAGCTGCTCCACTGGAGAAGGGTGGTCAGTCTCCTCCTGTTCAATTAACTGCCTCTGAAAACATGCCGGACAAGCAGCTATGGATCAGTTCCAACTCCACAGTACTCAACAACAACCTGTTAAGCTCTCTAATGGAGCTCTGGTGGCTCAGCAGTAAGAAGCTGAGCTGTAATCCTGAAGGCACGCAGTTCAAATCCACGAGCTGCTGCACGGAAGAATGATGGGCAATCTCCTCCCGTGCAATTAACTGCGTCTGAAAACCCACCAGAGGCTCAGCAATGTGTCAACTCAAAGGTACATAAAAACAACAACAAACTCCCTAACAGATGCGATAATCGTGAAAAAAAAATTCTAAGAAGAAATGAGGTTAAGTGTATACTACTTCAGTAGAATATTATTGAAATTGATTCTGACTCCTACTCTTGTTAGGTCCCGTCCAGTTGACTATGATTCATAGTGACCATATGAACAACAGACCTGGCCTTGCCCTGTCCTGAGGCATCCTCGTGACCTCCGATATGCTGGAGCCCATTGCTACAGTCACTGTGTCAATCTATCACATCGAGGGTCTTCCTCTCTTTCTCTGACCCTCCCCCTTTCCCAGCATTATGTCTTTTTCCAAGGACTGGTCCCTCCTGCAAACACATCAACATATGTGAGATGAAATTTCACCATCCTTGCCTCTAAGGATCACCCTGGTTACCCTTTCTCCAAGACAGATTTGTTTGTTCTTCTGATAGTTTGACTCCTAGTGTTGTTGTTGTTGTGCCATCAAGTCAGAACCAACAGGTTTTCAGAGGCCATAAATAGCATGGGAGGAAATTCCCCACCAAAACCCAAACCCAGTGCTATCAACCCGCTATGTCACCAGGCCGCATGGAGTCCTAGGAGATAATATTTCCATGAGCAAATGGCCAGGTCTTCTTTTACCATGGAACTGCTGGAGATTTTGAACCACCAGCTTCTCAGTCAGCAGCGGAGTCCTGATTCCACTGTGTCGCCTCGGCTCTTTGGAATATCATGCAGACATTCAATCTGATCCGTTTGAATATTATGCAAACATTGGACTATGAAATTATAAAGTGAAGCACTCACTGTATTTACACTGTGGTCACATTGCGTAGTTACAAAAATGTTGGCAAGTCTAGATTGAAATGTGGAAAATTAAAGCAATCGGTCAGTTGTAGATGAGAATCTAAATTTCCTTTCCTGTTTGTTGTGGGTTTTTTTATTTGTGGGTCATTGGGGGTTTTTCCTTGTAGTGTTGTTGGTTTGGGGGGGTTTCCCCCCCCACATCTCCACAGATAAGTTCTTTTCTCCAAATTAGTGAAGTTTGGATAATTTCACCAAGTTTGTGTGAGACATTGAGGTAGTTAGTCTTGATTATGCTACAATTTTGCCTGCAAATCTAGGTAAGCTGACCGTTGGGTGTGGAGCAACCTAGAGAACTTCTTGGCTCTGGGACAAAAGGAGATTTGAGGATTATCAGGAGATTTGAAATGACCCTCCAAGGACTGGCTCTATGTAGAAGATGATCAAGGAAAACAGAGAGAAAATGCTGGAAGCCCCTCTCAGACATTTACACGGGCTGGTCTACCCTCAGCATCTGCCTTCCCAGGAATTCTGCTCTCAGCTCATGCTAAGGGGCAGGCCACCTTGCACTGTCCTGCTGACCTGTCATCAGGAACTCCACACTTGGTTTACAATCCTCCCCTCGAATAGGGATTTACAGCCGTAATCCCCGTCCACAGAGAGAAGACGAAATCCCAAGCGGTGACCTAGAATCTGAGTTCCCTTCATCGGCACTACAGCTAAGCCAGCCACTTGGAGTTCATGAATGTTATCTCTGCTTCAAGCATGTCTTGCAGCTAATGTCCAAGGGCCCAAGTTCAAGTCCCCCTTGCATTCCCCAGCTTTATTCAGAGGGAAAAGGACTCTGAGATGAAGTGCTTGAGCTCAGGTATGGATAGAGTTGGACAGAGAAAAGAAGTGAGGGAGAGCAGGCTTCTCTTGCCTGGAACACGACTCAAGGGGAACACAACCCATGAGGACGGTCCATTAGGAATAACAGCATGTGGGCTGGTTTCTCTAAACCGGAAGACAATCTTCTCTTTCCTTTCTACTAACTCCTCACCTCCCGTCTTGGGGGTCGATATTCACATATGCCAAATCATGCTGCACTACCATAATTTAAGAAGTAAACATCACCAGGCATTTAATAAGAATTTATAATATTTCCTTTGCTCTGAACAGAGCTAGAAGTTGACCCACTAGATCACTTATCCCAGCACCTTAGTTTAACAGATGAGCAGTTCTGTGCTCTGTCCTATACAGCGGCTATAATAAACAATGACAACAGCAAAGGAAGCCCCAAAGGGACGTGCTCAAGGTCACATGGCTAATCAGCTGCCACAGCCTAGCTCTTCTGTCACCTTTCTCTGCCCTCAGTGCCACAGGCAAGGACAAATCTCATGGGAGTGGGTGTTCAGGGTTGCAAGATTGGAAAATAAGGGAATGAACTGATTAATATAAGCTTCTGATTTGAAGCCTTCTACTTTGAGTGAATGAGGCACAAGCCCAATAATAGTGTAATGACCTTGAAATAACACCATTCCTACTGTGAGACTCAGACGCATATTCCCAGCCAAGTCTTCCTTCCTGGGGACTCTTATCCAAACAATTTATGTAAGTACTGCCTTCCACCCATTTTAGTTCCACCCAAGGCGCCCAAATGGCTTAATAATAAGAAACTATGCTGTAATCTCAAAGGCATGTGGTCTGAATCCACCAGTTGCTCCACGGGAGAAGGATGAGCAATCTCTTCTTGTGCAATTAAACTGCCTCTGAAAACCCGCTGGAGGGTCAGCTATGAGTCAATTCCAACTGGATGACATACAACAACAACAATAGCAACTACCTTTCACCCATTTTAGTGGCACATTAGAGAGTTGTTACTTTTGTAGGTCAAACAAATGGTAGAATATTGGTGATTTCCTATAGTTTAGCCTAATTATGCTCTTCTTGTGTGTCTATTCAGACTCCTAGAGATGCTGCAGGGTACTGTAGACCACCCCAAAGGTGTCCGAGGCAGTCATCTTCAAACAAACAGATCGCCAGAAGCTTTTCTCCCAAGAAGCTGCCAGTAGATTAGAACCAGCAACATTTTTTAGCTCGTAGCCAAACACTTAACCATCACACCACCAGGGCTCCTCATTCAGTCTACTAGACCCTCACATACGCAATGGTAAGCAGTGCCCACAGAGCCCAGCGGGGAGGAAAAGGCCCCCGTTAGAGGTGCTCCCACACAGCCCTGACCCTGGGGCTGCAAGCAACTCACTCTTTGACTTCTTTGGAGGAAAAGTCCAAGTAGCGGTTGCTGATCCACTGAATCTCAAACCAGTCCCGGAAGCCGTTGTTGCCGCAGCATTTGAACTCTATCTGCAGCATGTCAATGGTCTTCTTCATGAAGCACCTGCCGGGGGTGTCCGTATCCCGGTAGTACTTCATCCCGCTCTTGAGCCCGTGTGCCAGGGTGCTCTCCAGGGACCCCCGCATCAGGAAGCAGCAGAGGGACACGAGGAAGAGGACAACATTGAAGAGGACGCAGATGATCAAGTAGCTCTTCAGCAAGGGCTTCCACTTGGCGTACTTGGCAGGGTCCAGGGCGTCATAGCAGATCTTGCCAGTCAGAGAGTTGAAGACACAGGACAGAACTCCCATCCCTATCAAGGAGTTGGGCACAAAATGGCTCTCTGAGTTATTCATCAGGTCGCTCCTCTTCCGCAGTTCGATCTTCAGGAACAGTCCAAGGCCGAAGAGGATGATGCCCGCCAGCACCGAGAGCCAGTTCATAAGCCAGAGCCCTTGGGCTAACTTGACCCGCTTCTTCTGGTCAAATTTGACTTTCATCAGCGCCATGTTTGCAAGATGCAGTCCTGGCAGCCTCCCCTGACCAAGCTCAAACTCTTGACCTTAATGAACTGAGGGTTGACCACTCAGGGCCTCGGGAAGCGCACAGACAGCTGCAGGGAGCTGCTCTGGGGGCTGCCCATGTTGAGCCCCCCTCAGCCCGAGACCCTGGCAGCAGAGTCACACTCACGCAGAGGCTGGTCGTCAGCGTCGGTTCTGCAGCTTCTCTCCCAGCCAACAAGGGACACTGAGCGCTGCAGATTAAAAGTGGGATCCGCAAGACATTTTGCTAATCTCTTTAGCCTAGTTCATCCCATTAGATAAAGCCCTGTCAGCCTCAGAACACTGCCACGAAGGAGCCTCCAGGTACACCCTGAAGCAGAAAGCTCTAGATGCTGCCTGGAGAGTCAGCAGCAAAAAGGGTAAAGACTGGCCAGAAGAAGGACTTTATCTGGAAGCCTAGCTCAGGTCATGTATCCCCCTAGAAGCAAGTGGCCAGGCTGAGCTCCTTCAGAAGATCTGTGTCGTCCACCGCTCGCTCCCACCCACACCTCCCATCATGCTGTTGGTTTCAGCCAGTCAATTCTGGCTCTCAGTGACCCAGGCATGCAGAGAACAGCTCCATAGAGTTCTTAAGGCTGTGACCCCTTTTTTTTTTGAGAAAAATCTCTCAAGCTTTATTTTTCAAAGAACCAAGGCAAAAATATCATGTAAAGAAATTCATTTCCACATGATGCTACAATATAAGGATTAACTTTACCTATTTCTCAGAGTTGTTCTGAATGTGCTTTCTTCTTGTCATAAGGTGTCATAAAGTTGCTCAAACTTACAGCAAACTTTTGTACAACAGACTGAAACTGCCTGATGCTGGACCATTCTCATAGTCTCTGCTGTGCTCTGTTTCACAACAACAAGAGAGGCTGCCCATCTTTCTTTCCCTCAGAATAATAGGGAGGAACTGCCAACTATTCAGTTAATCGTCTAATCAATTTGTTTTACATACTATGCTACTAGGGCTCATTGCTGTTATGTGCCATCAAGTCACTTGCGACTCATAGCTCCTTAATGTAATGAATATAGAGAATGGAAATCAATGCGTCTGAATAGTTTCCATTGCTCATACAAAACTTACTATGTGCCTCTTAGGACGTTATAACATTTTTATATGAATATTTACCTCTCTTGATTTGTGATTTTTTTTTAAAATGTATTGGTTTTCATATAATAATTCCTTTACATTATATTTCATTGTATACATTGCATTTTATACAAGCTTCCTTTACATTATGTTTCATACAATCTATTTTACATTTTCAATATAATCTATTTTGCTTTTTTAAATTGGTTTGCTTACAAAGCTTACATACGTTGTGTTTCACACTATTCTTCATTCACATTGTATTTAATACAATCATTCTCATGCATTATGTTTTATGCTGAGTGAATTAACACAATCTAATAAGGAAAAGTATTGCATCAGACCATTATTGTAAAAACAGAATGATAACTAGTAAAACATGTACAGGAACTCAAAGGGGGGAAGGAGATAAGGCTTTGTAGGGGTGAAACTACAGAGCTGCACAGTTTTGTAGGGGGAGGTGGGAGGGGAAGCATCTGGGCAAAAAGACAAGGCAATGATGAACAAGGTCCAATGGCTGTGAGCTCACTGCCAGGCCTGTTTTCCAGGGCACCTCTGAGTGCATTTGTACTGTCAACATTCCAGTGAGTAGTCAAATGCTTAATCATTCAGTGATTGAGGGAATCGCTCCAGAACCCCGGAATCTATTACAGAGTATTCCCCTGCCATTGAACTGATTCTAGCTCAGGGTAATACTACATAGCCCAGAGAAGGGTTGCTTCGTTGGCTTCCAAAGTTGTGGGTCCTAACCAAAGCCAACTGCTACATCTTTTTACCAGAATGTAGATTGTGAATTCAGACCAGTCAAGTTTCAGTTAACAGCCAAACACTTTAACCATTGCACTAGCAGGGCTCTTTATTACAGGGTATAATCCACTGCTGTCCATTGATTCTGACTCCGAGCCACACTCTGTTGTCCTGAGGCTCTTGGTGACCCTCTATTGAGTACCTAGGACTACAAATCTTTTTTAAAAATTAATTTTAATGAAAGTTTACAGAGACTTAGGGTTTCCAGTCATTCATTGTTGCATTTTTCTCCCTGCCCACCCTCCCCTGCCCACTTCACTCTTCTCCTTGAAAAGAAAAAGAGAAACTCTTTTATTATTATGCAATCCCCCACCCCATGTCTACTCTACTATGCCTTCATTCTGGACTCATGTCATGACAATAATACCCAATCATATATCCCTTTTAAACAGTTCTCTCCCTCATCTGTTTCAATGCAATATACAACATTCCTCAGCTCACTCTCTGTCTTTCCTCAACCCCGATGTCAGTCCCATTTTACAACAGTGGCACTATGCAATATTTGTCCTTTTGTGACTGAGATATTTCACTCAGCATAATGTTCTCCAGGGTCATCTATTTTGCATAATATTTCATTAATCCCTTGTTTTTCAATGCAGCATAGTATTCCATTGTGTATATATACCACAGCTTCTCTATCCATTCGTATGTTGATGGGCACTGGGTTGTTTCCAGCTCTTTGCTATTGTGAACAAAGCAGCAATAAACATGGGTGTGCATGTATCTGCTTGGGTGGCTATTATTGTTTCCTTAGGGTAAATTCCCAGTAGTGGAATTGCTGGGTCAAATGGTATTTCTATTTGCAACTTTCTGAGAAAGCACCATACAGCCTTCCATAGTGGTTGCACCATTTTACGCTCCCACCAGCAATGAATAAGAGTTCCAATTTCTCCACAACCTCACCAGTATTTTTATGTTTGCTGTTCTGTTAAATTTTGCTATTCTGACTGGGGTGAGATGATATCTCATAGTTGTTAGGACTACAAATCTTAACAAAGGAGATCGCCAATTTTTGTCCCTCAGAGATGCTGGTGGATTTGAACTCTCAATCCTTCCATCAGCACTCCATACCTGATGAACTATGGCACCAGGGATTTTTATACCTATATCCTGTTGGTGGTGTATACTGTCGAGTGGGAATCGACTCAGAGCTGACCAGGGGCTTTTCAGAGGCAGTAAGGAGGAGATTGCCCATCTTTCTTCTGCAGAGCAGCTAGTAGATTTAAACCGAGTGCCTTTGGGCACAATTCCTTACTACTAAGCAACCAGTGTTCCATTATATATATATGTTGTTGTTATGTGCCATCAAGTCGCCTGCGACTCATAGCAACCCTATGTACAATAGTTCTGAACCCTGTTCTATCTTGAGGCAAACTTATTGTCTCTGACACACCTACTTCCATTACCCTAGGCACTGAGTCAATCCACCTCATCAAGGTCTTCCTCTTTCGTGCCATCCTTCCACCCTCCTAAGTATGACGTCCCTCTCCAAGGACTGTTCCCTTCTTGTAACATGTCCAAAGTATGTCAGATAGAGCTTCAGAATCCTTGCCTTCAAGGAGCAGCCTGGTCTCATCCTCTCTAGGTCGAATCTGTTTGTTCTCCTAGCCATCCATGGTATATTCAATACTCTTCTCCAGGACCCCAGCTCAAAGGCACCAATTCTTCTGTCATCCCTAGTCATTGTTCAGCTTTCTGACGCATAGGTAATCATAAATTTTGTCAACTCTAAAAAAAACCCAGTTACTATTGAACTCTCTCTACAGCAATCTCAGGTCTGGCAGAGTAAATTTTGCTCCATGGGATGGAATTTCATTGGGTTATTCAGAACTAGATCCCCAGGCCTGCAGGTGCCTCTAGGTAGACTTGAACTTCCAATGTTTTCATTAACGGTCAAATATATTAGCCATTTTTTTTAACACCCAGGGACTTCTTACTAAATCTATCACTGTCAAAATTTAAAATTTCCATAGAAATCTTATTGATTCCTATGCAAATAAATCAAAGATAATGTTAACAAAATTGAAAAAGAAGTGGCAGGTCAGGAGAAAATGTTTACAATACAAAGAACAAAAAAAATGCCACTTAAAAAAAATTCCCACAAATCCATAATCAGACTTGAAGTAATCAACAAAGAAAAAAAGATAAAGGACAGGAATCTCCAATTCATAATAAGACATTATGGAAGTCCAATCAGAAAAAGTTGTTCAATCTCACCAGCACTCAAGGAAATGCAAATATAATAGTAAAATACAAACTAAATCAATTCAATTGAACATATGTCAAAATTCTGTCACCACACAATATAAACCAAGATGGTGAGAATGGTAAGATCATAAACTTTTCCATCTTTTGGGAAGATTAATTTAGCTATCTGTATTAAAATTTAAAGGAGCCCAGTGGCTTGAGGTAGCTCTGGTGACCTAGCGGTGAGAAGCTGTGCTGTAATCGCGTAGGAACTCAGTTCAATTACACAGGAGAAGAATAAGCAATCTCCTCCCTTGGGATTACTGCCTGTGGAAACCTGCCTGCCAGAGGGTCGGTTATAGGTTGGTTCCAACTCGACAGTACACAACAACAAGTAGTTTAGTGGTAAGAAATTATGCCGCCAACACAATGGTATGTGGTTTGAATTGACCGGCTGTTCGGTGGGAGGAAGCTGGACAACCTCCTCCCTTGCAATTTATTGCCTCTGAAAAGCAACTGGAGGGTCAGCTATGGGTTAGCTATGATTTGATGGTCTACAAGAAAAATTAAAATTTAAAAGGCACATCCCCCTTTTTTCAAAACCACCTACAAATAAGTATAAGTTTAAGGACAAATGTGTGCTGTCAAATTCCTGTCCACTTAGTAGCGAAGAGAAGATCCCTGACAGCAAAGTGGTTAAGTACCTGACTGCTAGCCTAAAGGTCAGCAGTTCAAATCTACTGACCTCTAGAGGAGAAAGATAGGTCCATTGGCTTCTGTAAAAAGTTGTTAGGGGTCATTGAGCCAATTAGGACTCATGGTGACTCTATAAACAGAACTGAACTTTGTCCTAGACTGTGCCATCCTCATGATTTCTGGTATGCTCCAGCCC